TAGCCGGTAAGCTTTATTCTCCCCCCTTTTTTTTGTTTGAAGAAGCGGGTTTTTCTTTTTCTGAATCAAAATTCTTCCTTTAAAATTGATAAAATCCATAAAAGAACAAAAAAACAATAAACGAAAATTACATTTTAGAACATTTAAAAGAAAATTAATGTACAATTAAAAGGTTCGGCAAGAAACTTTATAACATGAGAACATTTCCAAAACATTGTAAACAAAACAAAGAAAAAAAAACCAAAAACAATAACCAAAATAATAGGAACTAGTCAAAAATATTTATTTACAAATAGTTAACAATATATGAAAAACTTATACTGGATAAATTAATTTCATATTTTATGAAGTCTAAAAATATCCCGATAAATAATTTTGACAGTGTTGATATCCTATTACGCTCATAACCCATTAAAATTTACCGTTTGCGCATAAGTTTATTCTTAAAATTAATATTCTTTTACGCTATCTTAGCATATATTCGCAGCAGATTAAATATTTTTAATATATCATGCAATATTTATGCGTACCTTATTCGGATACATACATCATTACGAATAATCACAGTAATTTATATTATGAATATAGCTTATAGAGGTGCTGATGAGCCACCCGTAGGGATTCCGACTAAACTACGACTTTTCCAATAAATGAATAACCCCACCGCAACAACAATGATTAACACAGCTACCAAAGCAATAACGGCAATTATTCCGGGACCAAATGATGATGAAGATTTGCTGCCTGAATTTTCGGGTTGTGAAGTAGCTATTTTCAAATTTCATAAAAACATCAACATAATTGATTGCATATTTCATATTTGAAAGGAAAATCGGATTGAAAATAATTATCGATTAACTTTAGATAGTGAACATATTACCTGTGTCTGTCGGACCTATAAATATACAAATTTGCAGCATACGTCAAATAATACTTTTCGGCATGGTATGTGTAATCAAATTAAGTAAGAATGCAGTACCTGTTGTAATCGTATTAAGGGATGTAATCGTTTTTGTCCCTGGTTTCAAAGTAACTTATTAGAATCACATTAAATTATACGCAATAGTAAATATCATGTGTAGTACCTGTCATAACAGACGTAACTACTACCGTAACCGCTAAAAAAGAAACCATATAGAACTAAACATTTTTTTTCAAATGATAAAATTTACAGCATTAACTAATAACCTACCAGCTAATAGAACAAATAAAAAAAATGAACCGTTAATAGAATGTATGAAAATAAGTAAAAATATAATGAATTGTACTTACGAGCTAAAAGTTTACGGAAAGCAAGCATTAGTAATTATAAGGTTAAATGTATTATGTTGCGTAAAAACATTAAATTATACTTACAATCTAGTGTGTAAGTAAATAAATAAATATATATATATGAACATAGATATTAATAAAAGAATAATAAAACAAAATATACAAAATATTAAGAAGATTAATTATACTAACAGGCTAATAATTTGACAAAATTTGAATGTCAATAATTCATTTAACCATCAAAAACCACAGTTAGTTTAATTCTTACATGCTTGTAGTTTGGAAATTTTTAAAAGTATTTTAGTAAATTAACAGTTAAAACAATAAAATGAATAATGATTAGGTCGATCACTTACATGCTATTATTAATGTGCATCAATATTAATAGAAGAATTTTGATTCAGAAAAAGAAAAACCCGCTTCTTCAAACAAAAAAAAGGGGGGAGAATAAAGCTTACCGGCTAAGAAAGAAAACGTAGGAAAATTAATAGTTTTCTTTAACAAATTGGTAAATATAACAGCATATACTTACTGCCTAATTATTTACAGAAGAATGTGTATTGAGTCTTAAAATTCAATTGAAAAAGAATATTCACAAACGAGTATGTAAAACATAATATTTACTGGCTAATAGTAATTTAATAAAAGAATGGTTAATATTACTAAAATTGGTACGAAAGTTAATAGGATTATTATATTTACCATCTAATATAGCATTCAATCCAACACGTTAGAAAGTTAGAAAGTAAATGAAGTTGATGTAATCACATAACATAATGGTTTTTCGGAGCATACTCACAGACTGCGAGGTTAATGGGTATAAAATAATTATAATTAATATCATGTGTAAATTAAAAATCGATGGATGTAATTCCTATACTCACAGGCTAAATATTAATAAGTTCAAAAGGGAAAGCGCATGTTAAAAATCAATTTAGTGATAAATTTGATTGTAAAAAACAATCACTATTATCATGAAATATTTTTCGACTTACTTTCTGATATTATATTAATGGAACATTTGTTAAATCATAGATTGAATGGAAGAAAGACAAGAACGGTATAATAAAGTTCAACATTTACCAACTATATATGTACAACGCGGAATTTATGGGTTTAAATATTCGTCATTAGTAAAAAATAATAATAATTGAAATCATACTCACCATCTAACAATAAAATCATAAGCGTGTTAAATAGTTTAATTAGACAGGTAATAATTAAAAGGGAGTCGAATGTCTAAAAATAATCATCATACGTACAGCCTAATAAATGTATTAAAATGTAAATAAATACATGTACACAAACATCATAATAAACAATGATCAGACTTATTATACTCACATCCTAATAATTTAATCGAAAACATTTAACGTTACAAAGATTTGTTTAATAAATAAACAACTTAAAATAAATCTCAAAAATATTTTAAATGGCCACGAGAGAAATTATTTACGTACCAGCTAATTATTGGAATATCAAATTATGTTTGGGAATTAGAAATCATTAAAGTAAGGGGAAGGTATTATAAAGAAAAGTTTCCAATACTTACAAACTAATAATTAAGTATGTAGTCTGTCATTATTATCGCGGCCTCGAAAATTTCCACAAAAATGAACGTCGCAAATTTTACACTTACCAGCTAATTAAAGGATCATTAGCAATTTAATTGATTTAAAAATCCGTGCACCAAACTTTTTTTTTACTTACCAGCTGATGATTTAATAAAAATTCGTGCAATAAATAATCAATATAAAATGAATGTATTGATTTTTAAAAAAATTACGATAGCATCTTACTTACAGGCTAACAATGGTAATAAAATTGGAAGGTAAATTATTATTTTAAAGCCGGATATGTATCAATAAAACTATTTTTACTTACACGCTGATCATTAAATGTTGATTAGATATAGTAGTTATTATGATTAATCAATTAAGAATGGAAGCAGATGTATACTCACAGGCTTATAGTCAAACCATCCAAATTCATTAGCAAATATGATAGAATTGTAATAAGCAATCATAATAGATATATAAACTCACTAGCTATTGTTGTAGGAAAACAAGCGGTTAAAATAACGACTTAACAATAAAATTTCAGAATGAGAATATGACTTGCAACTTACCATCTATTATAATAATCCAAGTTATATGGTTAATGTAAATTTAAGATATCACTAAATGTGTGCCGTCATTAAATATAATATACTCACAGTCTGATGGAATTAGAAAAATGTAAATTCACTTTGAAACAATTTTTGGGACAAAATATTACAAAAGGAAATTATTAACACATACTAACTAGATACGAAAAATTTTATAAAATTATTAAAAAACAAATTTATAATATCGCCTATTTTAAAATGAATTTTACGCACCGCCTAACATACATCATCATTATGTCAGTAAAAATTATTTGATAACGTTAAGTGTATTAGAAAATCCATACTTACATGCTGATTACCGAGTGGATATATAAGATTGTACCAATCAGTCATCTGTTATAGTTAAACATGGATCAAATATAATATATTCTAAAGCATACCGGCTAATAATTTAAATGAATATTTTTAAGTTTGTGAAATTAAACCATCGTTAAGAGCAAAATTAGCAAAACAGAATATTTACTAGCTAATAATTCGCCAACATATGATTTCGTATTAATTTTCTGGAAAAAATTTTCAATCAAAACACTTCTTGCGCATATACATACCCACTAATGATCGATGAAGTTAGTTAGATGGAAGAGTTGATAAGTGATTAAACTCACATTATTCCAAGGTATTAAGTACTTACTAACTAATAAATCGGAGACGAATTGAGAATTAACATGTTATAAATAAACTGCTATTTATATAATCTAATTATTACTCTTACGTGCTATATAATAAAACAGTAATGCTTAATAAGTTACAGTATATGATGAAAACCAATTTCTAAAAAACGAGTCAATACTCACAAGCTAATAATTCCAAAAATCACGCGTTAAGATTATACATATTGAGATTAAGTTACAAAATTGGACGATGAAATGAGTATCGTGCTTACCAACTATATTAAATTAACAAAATGAAGTTATGTAATAAAGTTAAAAATAATTAAACATTGTCCGTATAAAACAGATATAGTAAACCATATACCCACTGTCTAATGATTAAATAATGCAAGTTCGTGATTTAATTATAAGATAAACCAATATATTGACAATTAAATAGATAAGACCCTTTTCACTCACCGGCTAAAAATAAAATGTCAAGTCAATAAGTTAAAACGACAATGTTTTCTATTCAAATAGTTAAACACTACTTACTGGCTAATAGTTTAGGAAAGTTGTATTTTGATACGACATCAAAATAAATTATTTATATTTGCTCAAAAATTGCGTATTTAATAAATCAGAAATAAGAAACATGACCAGGTCTCATACTTACGGCCTAACAAAAAAAAAGTAAAAAATACAATAGTTAATTATGATAAACATGCGATACTAATTATAATTGTTTAAATACTACTCACAGTCTAATGGTTTGATGCACAAGAGTCGCAACCGATGCAAATGCATTATCAATAAAAAAAATCATCACAAAATATAGCCAATAATATCACTATACTTACACCCTGAAAATTTAAGTTATAATGTTAAACAAATAAATAAACAAGAGTAAAGAATTGACTTATTTCATTCATACCTATTATAATTCATTTGACACGCAGGTCGATCAGAGAGAAATGATACTACAAAAATATTTACTTGCAAAGAAAGTAAAGGAACATACATTCTAATTTAAAGTTATATAAATTTTTTAGTTGGATGCAAATCATTATAAAAATAAAATCCTTATAGAGATGAAAAAAAGATTACATACGTCCTAATAATTTGATATTTAAGTTATAATAGTTAAAAATTCAAATGCAGTGGTAGTTATTAAAATATTGTTTAGTCAATTGTTATATACTTACGACCTAATTATTTAAAAATCACAAACTTAGCAAAATTGTAACTTTACAGAACATTTTATAATAAAACTTTGCCTTACCTATGAGGTTTTTGATCAATATAAAAATTCTCAAAAAGTCAATAAAAAGCAAAAATGTCTAAATAATGAGGAAAAACGAATACTTGCAATCTAATTTAACGAAAACAACGGCATTAATACATTGCGAAAATATTAGATAGTTTAACCATGAAAAATAAAATGTAACAAAACGTTATAACCAATTACATACAGGCTAACAAATTACGATAAATCAAATATCAAGGATGAACGAATACGTATTAATAAATTTTCATGGCTTATCATCGTTCAAATTCAATGGCTTTTTTCTTACCAACTAGTATTTTATAAATGTTAAGGTTAATTAGCAAAACATCAAAATAAACATCACCCAAGACAAAATACAAACTTACTGGCTAATGGTAAACGGAATAACAGGGTGCTCATGTTATTTATTAAAATAATATTAATTAAAAAAAATAAAAATTACGACGTAATAAAATTTCAAACTTACTCGCTATGAATGTGTAAAAATTAATTCGTCAATTCTTCAAAAATATTTAAATACATATATAATACGACTTCAAAAATTATTGTACTTACGATCTATAGACAAGATCAAAGGTTAATAACAATTTGCCATGGAGCACG